AATTATAATTAACACAGGTTGTGTAGTCTTTAAATAGATGAGTGTTTTTAAGAGCACATTATTATTCTAATTCAGGAGTTAATATAAGCACTGTATGTTTATTTCAAAGATAATAATTAAAAACACTCCGTGTAATTCATTAAAAGTAGATCAGCTTTTATTTTCAAAGGTAAATGAAGTATATCAGCCAACATACTGGACAATGTTCTGCGGAACAACACACATATTACCAATATTGTAACTGGTGTTATTTAATAATATTGAAATATGATTAAAATTAATTTTTTGTATTTATTTTTCAAACAATTTGAAACATTTTAGAATAATTAAGTCTAAGCTTCCCTTAACTTTGCATTGCAAGTTACATTACTAATATAATGAAAATAAAATGTTTTTATTGTTCATCCACAGGTGCAGTCTCTGGCTTAAACAACACAGAAGCTTGACGTGTTCTGATATCTTTAACCTCCTAAGACCCGAACTCTGGGTCCACGGGATGCATTTTTAATTTCTCTTTGATATTTGGGCTGATTGGGACCTGATGAATGTAAAAACAAACAATTACCAGATTTTTTTATTTTTTACCTAATTTTTGTTTCTCAGAAAAATGAGAGCCACATATGAGGACATTCGTTGAAAATTTCGATGGAACAGTAGCAGTATACTGTCCCCGTAAGTGGATATCAGGTCCTTGTAGAGCAAAATTGAGGTTTTTGGTCTAAATAACCCAAAATGTGATGTCCACATATGTGGACGTCAGGTTCAAGGAGGTTAAGGATGGTTTGTTTGTCCGTCTAGGCATTACCGCTTGAATTACTGTCATGATTTTAGGTCAGGGGTCCCCAACTCCAGGCCTCAAGGGTCAGTGTCCTGCAGGTTTTAGATCTCACCCTGGGTCTACACACCTGAATCAAATGATTAGTTCATTACCAGGCCTCTGGAGAACTGCAAAACATGTTGAGGAGGTAATTTAGCCATTCGAGTTAGCTGTGTTCAATCAAAGACACATTTAAAAACTGGTCCTGGGTCTGATCGAGGGCCTCCTCCCGGTGGTACACGGCCAGTACACCTCACCAGGGAGACGCTCAGAAGGAATCCTTGTCAGATGCCAGAACCACCTTAGCCAGGTCAGGAATCAGGATGAGGAAGAAATTAGGTCAGATCAGTGCAGGTTTTCGCACTGCTCAATATTTCCAAAATACATTTGTAACCAAATAACTTTGAAAA